AAATGATATTTTTTGGAGGAAGATGAGTGAGTGTGTGTGTGTGTGTGTGTGTGTGTGTGTGTGTGTGTGTGTGTATACCCAGGTCTTACTCTAAGGCTAACCTTCTAACTTTTATGCCCTGATGTATCTCTTCACTCACTATTTGCCACAGTATTGGAATTTCTGAGACATGTCAAGTATGAGATTGCGTGAAGCACATGTGTCTTCCAAGAAGCTGAACCAGTCAATTTCTGACCAACGCCCATAACATTGGGTATAGGGACAGCTGAATAGAAGATTCACAATTGGAAGTATCTCTCCACTCCTTCCCCCATGTCCAAATCCAGGGATATGTGGTCACTGAATTCATAGGCTAGGTCATATTTTCATATCTTTTCTTAGGTCTAACTTTGGAGTCTTACAGATTTTGGAAATACTGCGTGGCTCTGGATTCAAGGCTTGGGTAGGTAGGGGTAATGTAGATGCCTTCCCGTCTCCCTAACTCCCCTCCCATCTCGTAGGAGATGCCATTGCTCACATCTTTATAAGGCGCTGTTTCAGAACGAACATTTTTAAACTGCTGTATTGTTAGACCTTAGAAATCAAGTTAGGAAACACATTAGGATGAAAGAATGAGCCTTTTCACCAGATCCAAGGATGTATATTCTAGTTCCATCAGGATAGTCTAATTCAGAGTTACTTGGGATAAAAAAAAGCCCTAAATCTGAAGTTCCAGCTCTTTCCTTTACTAACTATGAGACTCTGATCAAGTCATTTAACCTATCCGAGCCTCAGTTTCCTCATTTACAAAATAAGGATAGGAATACTCGCATTGCCTACTGCCAAGATGCTTTGTAAACTTTTCAAGTGTTACATAAAATGAGCTATAATTATTGCTATTTTCATTAGAAACAGTAGTGCTGTTGAGCAGTTTTGTAGTTCTTTATTATGAGGCAAATGCATTTTATACATAAGGTATGTTTTTAAGATTTGAAAATACCCAGGGACATTTCCTTACAACATAAAAATATGAGTACAATTGTTTGGGTCCATTTGCAAGGGCTGTCACTTTCTGTTTTGTAGAAATAAAATCTTTTTAGGTAAATCACCATTAAAATTGCTCTCATAGTCGATCTCTAATACAAAGACAAGGGACAGCTAGGTGGCTAAGTGGATGGAACGCTGGGCCTGGAGTCAGGAAGATTCATCTTCGTAAGTTCAAATCCGACCTCGGATACTTCCTAGCTATGTGACCTTGGGCAAGTCACTTAACCCTGTTTGCTTCGGTTTCCTTGTAGGTAAAATGAGCTGGAGAAGGAAATGGCAAATATTCCACTATCTTTGCCAAGAAAACCCCAAATTGGGGTTTTCACGAAAAGTCAGACACCACTGAAATGACTGCACAGCAACAATAAAAAAATTGGGACAACTGGGGAGTGTCAATGGATTATAAGCCATCTTAATGACAGGACCTGAGAGGTAGGGTGGAGCAGTAAATAAGGACCACAGTCTTGGAGTTAGGAGAAAGCAGAGATCAGATCTAGCCTCTGACATTTACTGACTATCTGACCCCAAGCAAGTGATTCAACCTCTCTGGGGCTCATTTTCCTCATCTGTAAGATGAAGTTGAGTAGCTCCCTGATAGGGATGTCACGAGGACCAAATTACATAATATATCTAAAGGAACTTTGCAAACCTTAAAGAGCTATCTAAATGTAATTTTGTTGCTATGACTCCTAACAATCAGAAGAGGAGGAGAATCTATATGTTTTTCTCTTTAGTCTTTATTTTTGGGAACAAGAGTTTCTATTTTTTGCTAAAGACTTACAAAGGATGTGTGTCTTCTGTGCAATTTCCATTCCTCCATGATCTATACATTGCTAAATTTTAAAACCAAATAATAATATATATAGATGTGTCCTGGTAAATATTTTAACAACCATTTCTCTGAAAAAACAAAACAAAACAAAACCAAACACCAAAAAACGAACACATGACACACTATTAAGTTTGATCTACATTATTTACAATTCTCCATCACTTTCTTCTGTGTAGACAATCAACAAAATAATAAATCAAGCCCCAGTTTGTAGCATTTGCTTATTTCTAAGATGTAAATGCTCATTTAAAATTTAACAACCAGCTCTTTGAGTATATATGTGTGTTTATAAGTCTAGATATGTCTATATTTATATATACATGTGTGTATATGTGTGTGTGTGTATATGTACCAAACAACCTGGGATTGAATAATAATAATAATAATTAGCATTTAAGGTTTGCAAAGTGCTTTGCATTATCTCATTTGTTGTTCACAACAACTTTGCAGAGTAGATGCCACTATTATCCCTGTTTGATAGATGAGGAAACTGAGATTCAGAGAGGCCAAGTGATTTGCCCAGTCATATCAATGATGGAATTTGAACTCAGGTCTTTCTGACTCCAGGCCTGGTTCTCTATCCACTGAGCCACCTAGCTGTTTCTCTACTGGGAGGTCATCAAGTAAAGGCTAGATGACTGATGTCGGAAATGTTGAGAGAATTTTTTTTTCATGTATAGGTTGGATTACGTGACTGCTGAAGTCCTTTCCAACTCTGAGATTATATATTTAAGATGAAATTCAAATTCATTAACTTTTGAGTGGCAGTCCAATAGCACAGAATTGGGTTGACTAAAGGTGATAATACCAGGGGCAAAAGTCATTTCAAAAAGATGTAGTCACACCCAGACTCTTGGGTCTTCAGCAGGAAATGATGCCTGACTGCCCTCCATCTGGGGGACAATGATTGTTGTATGCTCTTTTTTCTTTTAGATTTTTAAGACCATGGTACCACAGAGCCTAGGGGGCTGGGGGTAAGGGAGAGAGAAGCCTGTATAGGCAGATCAGTGCTAGGCCAGAGGTAAGAGCTCATTGAATTAGGGCAGCATTTCCCAAAAGAATTAAGCCAATGACACTTTGGGGCTTGAAATACATTGACAGAGCTTACTTCTGTGATAGGTCTGGGGATATGAAATACCCTTAAAGAGAGGATTTTGTTGTTATTGTTGTTGTGTTATTTCAGTTGTGTCTGACTCTCCATGATCCCATTTGGGTTTTTTTTTTACCAAAGAAACTGGAAGGGTTTGCCATTTCCTTCTCCAGCTCATTTTACAGATGAGGAAACTGAGGCAAACAGGGTTAAGTGACTTGCCCAAGGATCACACAGCTAGGAAGTGTCTGAGGTCAGTTTTGAACTTAGGTCCTTCTGACTCCAAGGCTGGTGATTTTAGAGCAAAATAGGGGAAATATAAACCCATTTTCATATCTCCTGAATAGAACATAAGCTCCTTGAAGGCAGGACAGGTTCATTTTTATCTTTATATTCTCAGCACCTAGAATACTATCTTGCAAATGGTTCGGCTCAAAAACTATTTGTTGACTTGCATTAATCAGATGCTTCTAGCTGTTTGATGCCACAGCAAATGCACTTTTACAATTTCAGCCCAAATTTGGCATTAGACACAAGATGCAGCTCTAAAGACTATCACTGGCTGTCTCTTATTTCACTATAATTGTATCCTTCCAAGGATTAAAACTCCAACTTGAAGCAGACCCACTCATTTTCATTGTCCCCATTTAAAATCTTGCCATTTTCTCCAGTAACCTCTGCTGGGGCTGGTATCTCTGAAGCATATTCACCAAGAAATACACAACAATCACAGTAGAATTCTGAATCTAACTTGTACTTTGTTTCTAAAGGAGAATATTCCAACATGGAAAGAATGATTTTGCCTTTCAAAGAAACTCTTTTTTTAAAAAAATTATTTCTGATGCTTCTCAAACCCATGAATATAGACAATGAAACATCAGAAGTGCCCTAGTCCAAGGTGAAGTTAGTGATTTGACAAATAATTAATTTCATCCAGGAGAGGCAGGGCAGGATGATGGAAATAACATTGGATTTGGAGGCAGAAGACTTGGGTTCATGTCCTGCTATTTACTAGCTGGGTGACCTTGGAGAAGTCACTTAACATCTTTTCCCTGCATTGTAAAGAGAATGATACCTGTCCTGATTTCCTTTTAATATTGTTTGCTTGGGGGAAGAGCCCCTGGCTGAGGGATTTGATTTAACCCAAATAGAGGAGCTCAGCTACAGAGGTCATGATGGGACTCACTAGTTGGTGGGTTAGAGTCTGTTCTGGACAATGGTGTGAGCCATGATTATTCTAACAAGCATCATTTATACTAGGACCTCCTAGGGTGCCATTTAGCTTTTCATATACTCCCTGTGCCTCTTGAGATACTCCAAGAATAGTTATTAAGAGACAGATAGTCAGGGATGAAAAGATTATAGATTTAGAGATGGAAAGAACCTTAAAAGCCATCTAGTCCAACTATATGGTATCATTTTACAGATGAAGAAACTGAGGCCCAGAAATATTAAATTACTTGCTGAAGAACATATAGGTTGTGATCTGACATCAGATAAGTACTCTGTCAACTAAGCCATGCTACTTTCCTATTAAAAGGGGAAATTTTATGCTATGAAAAGTCATACCAAAAAATTTGGCTCCCAAAGCACATTCTGACCTCTGCTTAGGCACTGGTGGTTCATTCACTAGCTCCCCAAACTTCTCTCCCCCATCTGATGATCCTAGCTATGAGCTTCAGTCAGATTAGGCTCAGATTTAGAGCTGAAAGGGAGTTCAAAGATTATCTCATTAATTCCCTTCATTTTAAAAATTAGGAAATTGAGGCTAATAAGGGTTAAGTGGCAGAAGTCAGACTCAAACCTAAGCCTTTTAACTCCAGAGCAGTAGTCTGACCAATAGACCACACTGCCTTCTAATTAAACAAAATAAAACAAAACCCAATTTCTACCTTGATGAGCTATTTCCTCTATCAGCCTTAGTAGACTAATAGCAATAGCTATTATAACAATAACAATAGCTTACACCCAATATAGGAGCCTTAAGGTTTATAAAACATTTTATATACATTGGGAGAATCCCAAATCAGATTTTCCAAACAAAGGACTTACCTAGATTGCTTTCCTGAAGGAATGGAGAACCTCTTTAGATGAAACCCCCCTCTGTCCTCCCCTGATGTTTTCTTCTTCTAAAAATGTGCAGTGAACACTTTTTATCCCACCCCAGCAAAGGTGTGTTATGGCTGAGTGATCTTTCAAATATGCTGGCTTCTCTCTCCCTCCTCCCCCTTTTCTCTTTCAGTAACTCTGCTCCCAAACAAGTCCTGACAATGATGTGGCGTGGTTTACAGCTTTACTCCACCCTTCCAATTATCTGACACTTGCTGGATACAACTGGCAAAAAAATCTGCCTCCAGGAATCAAACTTTATGGAGCTCCTTTTCACTGCTCGGGTGGATTAATCTTTTATGGGCTCGAAGAAGAAAAGGAACAAAGGTTCAGTATGAAGGAACTGACTGGGAGTTGTCCTCCTTCCTCTTCTGTAGTCTATCTTAAATACCACCACAGTTTGGGATCCTACATTTCATATCTAGCTTTGCCCCGAGTTCCAGTCTATGGTACCAGGGGTGGGCTTGGGTTGGCAGGGGACAGGAACAAAAGGCCTTAGACAAATTGAAATTTGAGATGTTGTATCTAAGTCTTCCCTCTTCTTTCTGTGTCTATTCCACTCCCCCACTTTTAATGTTGCCCTTGGCTCAGGTCCTGTCCTGCTGCCCCAGATCCTTCAGTTAGGAAAGAAAGTGTCTTGCCAAATTCATTAACAATTAGGGGTAGAGACTTAATATATTAATCAAATCTGCCAGGAAGACTTAAGTTATTGTTGTTGTCTTTTTTTTTTTTTTTGTAGAATGGAAGAGTGCAATGCTGAGGCCAAAGAAAATATTAGCTCTACTGGTGGGATTTCAAACATTTTGGCACCTGGATGGGAGGGAGATTTTGGGATGACGCAGATTTTCTTGGTACTCTAAAGATCATGGTGCTAGCTGCTCTAGCAACATCGAAGTACATTTGTGTGTAATTGACAGACCCTTCAATATTAGGGGTTTCTATTGGAGGTGTTGCTGACTTGCCATGGGGCTGGATTTGGCCAATTTCAAGTAGTTCCAACAAAAGTGTAGATCAGAGGTTCTTAGCCTGGTATCTACAGACACCTTTGGGTTTATGAATTTGGATAGGAAAAATTTTATATCTTTATTTTCATGGACCTCTAACTGAAATTTAGCATTTTCTTCAATTATTTAAAAACACGATTCTGAGAAGGGGTCCATAGGCTTCACCCAAACTTCCAATGGGGTCCATGACGCAAAAAAGGTCAAGAACTTCTACTTTAGCTAGGAATAGGTCCTATTAGAGGATCCTTCTCCCTGCCCCCCATCACCTAGAATTATTTGAGGAGGGTGAAAGCTAAAGCTTGAAGTAGCCATGATTGACCTCCGGAGCCATTAGTCATTTGCAGTTTAGATTTACAATAGTGAGATGTCCTAGAGGAATTCTGGGATCCTGGAAGGGAAGGGATAGATAGTGTGCTTTCAGCAGCATGGCACTTAACGTGAAGGTCTGCTCTGTGTTGTAGTGAGCACCTGCTAGCAACTTTGACCCATCTCGGCACAGGGAGAAGCAGCCAGGCGCTATGTGTTTTCTTTCTACCGCATATTTTCCCCTTCCCCCTTAGTTGTCTTATCTCTAAAGTGAAAATAATTATACTTACACATGGGTGTTGTGAAAATCAAATGAGGAAATGTGTAATAATGCTTTCCAAACTTTACAATTCTATGTAAAAAGTAAGCTATTATTATCATCACTAATTTCCATTATTAGCCCTGTTCTTAGACAATTGGCCCACAGCTTTCAGAAAAACTCACTACAATCCTTATGCACAGAACTCGGGCTCATGGAATCACAGGAGCACAGAATCACAGAGTTGGAAGAGGCCTCTGAGACCAGGGAATCCAAATGGTATCTCAAGAAGAATCCTCTCTGCAATCTCCCCCATGAGTGGGCACCCGGCCTTTCTTGGAAGCCATCTGTCTCAAAGGAGCGCCCTGCCATCTGAGGCAAGCTTTTGGACAGTGCTCACCTTAGAAAGGTTTCCCTACATTACACCTAAATCTGCCTCTTCGCACCCACGGCCCAGTGCTCTGGGACCCATCGAACAAGACGAATCCCTCTTCCACAGGACAACTTTTCAAATACTTCAAGAAAGCTTCTCGCTTCCCCTCTCCTTCCCCCAAATGTTTGCTTCTTTAGACTAAAGAGAATCAGATCATCGCAGAATCTTAGAGTAGGAAAGAGCCTCAGCATGCATCTTTTCCAAGCAGACCAAAAGGAATAGCCACTAAGACTTAGCAAACAAGTGGTCACCTAGCCTCCTCTCGAAGACCTTCAATAAGGGAAGGGAGCCCACTGCTTCCTGAGGCACCACATTCCATTTATGGACAGCTCTAATGACTAAAATAGTTTTCCTGGAATTGAGCCTAAATCTGTCTCTTTGTAGCTTTCAATAATTGCCCCGGTTCTGCTGTCTGGAGTCAAATAGAAGTCTAGTTCCTTTTTCATGTGATAGCTGTTCCGATACTCTTAGACAGCTATTACCTTCCTCCAGAATATTTTTATTTCTAGGTTAAACAGCCTCTGTTCCTTCAAATCATCTTCATATGGAAATTTTCTGAGTCCCCAGGGAGGTAGTATGTGTCCTGTTGCTCTTTCCTTTGGTGGGAGACATCAGGGTGGGAGCAATTGGCCACTGAGTTCCCACCTTACCAGTCATTAGGGCCAAATAATATAATGTAGGTAAAACACTCTGCAGACTTGAGTACTATAGAAATGTAAATGTTTAGCAAATACTTTATCTTGTGATGAAATACTACTACTGTGCTGTAAGAAATGATGAGCGGATTGATTCTATTTTATTTTATTTTTTTTGTTTTGTTTTGTTTTCTGAGCAGGTTGATTTTAGAAAAACATGAAAAGACTTGCATGGAATAACGAAAAGTGAAATGAGCAGAATCAAGAGAACATTGGATACAGCAATAGCAATATTGTTCAAAGAATAACTGTGAACGACTAAGCTATTCTGAATATTATAAATATTCGGATCGACTACAAAGGACCTATGAAGGAAGATGCTAGCCACCTCCAGAAAAAGAATGGATAAAGAGTAGTATGCATAGTATGGTTTTACACTGCCCCCCGCACCCCATATATCTATATATCTGTGGCAAATGGTGACCTTCCTTAATGCAGGATGGGGAGGGAGGGAGATAGTTTAAAATTTAAAATGTAACCAGAAAAATCAAATTTAAAAAAATAACTGCTTTATCATTCAGCATTTAACTTGGTGCTTTGATGAATTTGTAATTTCATCGGGGGCATGCTGCCTCCATTGACAGAGATTGTAAACTTTCTAAACCATCTCATATTATGAGATTCTTGTCTATGTTTTTTCATAAATTCCCCTTAGAGGACATATCCAATGTGTCGAAGACCTTCTTGGGATTCTTTTGGTATCACAGGGGTGACCACTTGGTCAGTCCATTTTTATGTCAGTCTATAAAGTACAATGTAAACTTTAAAGCCCTCTAATAAAAGTAAATGATTATGTCTTTCACATGGTTTCTTAGATACAAATCACTGTTTGGTAACAAGCTTTAACCTGCCTACATTTACCATGTGACTTTCCATTGTCACCTGAGAGGTAATTTTAATTCTTCTGAGATTATGGTAAGCTATGATTTATAGCCATATACCTTTCCTGGGACAATATTAGTGTAAAACAGATGGCATTTAATAATAGCTAATCTAGTGATTATTATGTGCCAGGCACTGGGCCAAGTGCTTTATATTTATTATCTCTTTTGATTCTCACAACAACCCTGGGAGGTAGGTGCTATTATTTCCATTTTACAGATGAGGAGGCAAATAGGGGCTAAGTGTCTTGTCTAGGGTCACACAGCTAGAAAGTGTCTGAGGCTGTATTTGAACTCGGGTCTTTCTGACTCCAGGCCCAAGGCTCTGCTCATCATGCCCCCTAGCTGAAAGCATGGCACAATTTCCCAAATGCAATCCAGACAATCCCTCTTCCTACCTGATTCCAGCTCCACAGATTATAATTGACCTTCTGAGCCTATCCAAGATGTATCTACTGATCAGCTAAGCATCTTTGTCACCTAGGAGTCATGGACCAACTTGTGCTGGAGATAAGAATCAATTAGAAGGGCCTGAGGGAAAGCTTCCTTTTGGGGAAAGAGGATTTTGGGATTATAGATTTAGAGCTGAAAGGGACCTCTGAGGCTGTCCAGTACAGCTTCCTCGGGGAGTAAACTTCAGAGGCAGGATTTGAACCTAGGTCCTCTGACTCCAGAGCCAGCATTCTTTCCACTGTACCATGATTCCTCCTAGAGAGAATGGACTATATCATGACTGGAGGAAGTATGACTCCATGCCATATGAAGCCAGAAGGGTTCACGAGCTAATCGCATTCAAGAGGCTAGGCTGGAGGCAGGAAAGGAGATTCCCAGTAGTTGCTCAATATTGGATACATTCACATGCCCAGTCAAAGAGGACTCACCAGAGGGGCATGGTAGCCATCAGTGAGGTCACAATTTACTTTGTACAATTTCTTTACCCGAGTGAGCATTCTTTGGTCAGAGCATCCTAGCCAGCCTCCCACCTCCTGGCCACACTGTTTCAGAGTCACCACAGTCCCAGAGGCCATCCCCCCCTTATAACTCCTCTCTAGAACTTGAGACTGTTTAGTTCTGGACCCAGATTACCGTCTGTCTGTGGTGATGACTATGGATCTACACATTAACGTGCTAAATTGACAGGCTGCCTATCCAGCTGCTCCTCATAGTCCAAACCACAGGCTTTTCATTACACTTGGTTTTTCTGGTATTATCAGGTCTATCTCTTTAGAGGGATCGTAGATCTCCTTCAGGAGTCCTTGGGAATATCCTGGGTCTTGGCGCCATCACTGCAATGTCATGTGAAAGAAAGAACATTTGGAGATCCTCAGAGGAGCTCTTCCATTTGGAATCTGAGCAGGAAGTCTTCCCTGACAACAGTCACCACCTCCTCCTTTGACACTCGTAACCTCAGGGCTGGGAAACAGAATTATCTCTGTGGCTGCACTAATCAAGGAGTTAAGTATGAGAGTGTGTATGAGTGACTGACTTCT